TTTCGTTGGAACGAAGTTACGGAAAAATCAATTAACAAACGGAGACGTAACACTATTATCACTTTAGTGGTGTGCTTTATCATTAAGTTACGTTTTCTGAAAAATGAATAAATTACTAACACCAGGTAGTATTGATTTCGTCTTCATTCTAACGCTGCTATACCTTGTAATTATAGGCGTAGAGGCTTGACTTTGACCGAGGTGGCAAGCAAGTTTTTCCCGAAAAGATAAAATCGACCTTAAAATCATGTACTTTAAGGTTTGAAATCATTTGAAAAAAATGGTTCCAATGACTTCTATGCGCAACCATACGGCGCTAAAGGCTTAAAAAGGTGTGGGTAATATATTGTTACGTCTCTGTTCGTTAGTTAATTTTCGTAAAATTTCTTTCCGAAGAAACTTTAGCGATACAAATCCTTTCTTAAATAAAACTGGTTTATTCTTTCTGAATACAACTTTGCAATACACTTAATTCCCACAGTCGCGTTATAACAAACGCTTTAACTCGCAACGAAATTCTCACGTGCTCGACTCAACTGTCAATTACACACATTCTTGCCGTCACTTCTTGGCGGCTTATATATACAAGACTACCACATATCTAGTAAAAGCTCGAGACTTCACGAACCTTAAAGAATATGACGTGTTACTAGTATCACGTGACTCCCGCTGTCGTAACACTGCCCGTTTCTTAGTATTGTTACGTCTCCGTTTGTTAATTAACTTTCCGTAACTTCGTTACGACGAAACTTTAGCGACACAAGTCCTTACTTAATAAAACTGGTTTATTCTTTCCGAACATAACTTTACGATACACTTAATTTCAACAATCGCGCTAAAACAAACGCTATAACAACGAACGTGCTCAATAATACTCTTTGACTGCAGATCAATTACTCACTGTCTACACACACATTATTGCGTCACGTTGTCACCCTCTTATATATATACCAGACTACCCTATCTAGTAAATGCTAAAGCATTCATGAAGGAACAAGATAGTTCTAGAAACGTGGCGTCACACTAGTCATATGACTTCGCTGACGCAACAGTATTATTCGTCCCGAACAATAGCCACTTACATTAAACAAATAAACAATTAACAATAACTTAATTAAATGTACAGAATTTACAAACACAAAATCAAAATTCAACAAAGTCTCTTAATTTTATGGGACGTATCTTCTTCCGTACTGGTCTCCGTTTGGTTGGCTTCTGCTTCATCAGGAAATGTCCTATCACTGGTAACAGTCACATCAGTGGTAGTAACTTCATC